TCAAATCTTAACGTAAATGAAGGCATGCGTGGAGATCACGGCCCACAGGGACCAGAAGGTTCTCCCGGAAAGAATGGTGAACCGGGACCACAGGGTGTTATTGGGTTACAAGGCGTTTCTGGTAATACTTTTGTGTATATTAAATAATACAGTATATTAATATTGCTTATATACATAATAGTATAGATATTATCTATATTTAAATCATAATAATACACAGTCATGTTAATTGAATAAATTGAAATTAATAAAAGTCTATAATTAAATTCAGGCGAAACGGGTGCGAAAGGAGAAGTTGGAAGTCCCGGACAGCCCGGAGAAAGGGGACAAATAGGAATACCAGGGGAAAGGGGTCCACATGGGCCTCCTGGTGAGATTATTTAAAAAATCAAATCAATTTAAATAACATTAAAGTTGTTCCTCTATAGGATTGCAAGGGTTTCCGGGACCTCAGGGTCACGCGGGACCTTCCGGTCCTAAAGGTTCTACGGGAGGGCCCGGAATGAAAGGTTTGTTAAGGAAATCATACAACTTATAAGTAATTTAATATTTCAAACACATAGGAGAGCAAGGTTCCTCTGGACCTCCTGGTCATGTCGGTGAACCGGGTGTACCTGGATTACCCGGTTTAATAGGTTCTTATTGATATGAAATTAATATTTATTAATAGTTAAGAATTATATATTAATAATATTTGTTGTGATATCAGGTCCTAAGGGTCCGCCCGGAGAAGAGGGCAAAAAGGGTTGGTTTGACTCAATTTTTTTATTTCAATTGATTCTAACATTGAAATCTTATATTCAGGTGATGTGGGATTCCCAGGACTTCCAGGTTTGGGTGTCATAAAGAATTGTAATGAACACAACTAACTCCTATAACTAATAGGAAGAACTGGAGAGCCCGGACCCGCTGGAGTTCCTGGTCAAACCGGGCCCGCTGGACCCCCAGGGATCCCCGGATTAAAAGTAATAATTAAAAACATATTTTGTAATAAATATAAAAATCATAATTAATTTTAGGGTGCAGTGGGAGACAATGGAAGACCTGGCCCTCCTGGACCACCAGGGTCACATGGGCCACAAGGAATTGCAGGACCTAAGGGAGAGCATGGAGAAATGGTAATAAATTTACAAGATTACTTTTTATTAAATATTTTAATATATTAGGGACCAATAGGATTGCAAGGACCACAAGGAATCCCTGGACCTATTGGTGAAAGAGGTAGTGTATAGTTTTTGCACATATTTATATAAATTTACAAGATTACTTTTTATTAAATATTTTAATATATTAGGGACCAATAGGATTGCAAGGACCACAAGGAATCCCTGGACCTATTGGTGAAAGAGGTAGTGTATAGTTTTTGCACATATTTATTCAATATCAATATTACTATATTAATTATTCCTTTAATAAATATAAATTTATTTTTCAATATAGGTCATCCTGGTTTACCCGGAGTCCAGGGAAAACCGGTTTGAATTTTCAAAATTTAAGTTTACAACCAGGTTCTAATAGGTCTGTTAAAAATAGGGACCGCAAGGACAGCGAGGGATTCAGGTTTGACTGGATGACAATCTTTCAGTTTAAATAATCAAATAATATCTGAAACTAAAGGGCGAAAGAGGTAATGACGGAAAACCCGGTAGAGATGGCGAGTCGGGACCGCAGGGAATTCCCGGTCCTCAGGGACCAATGGGACCTCCAGGAGAACCTGGTCCTCCTGGAAATACTGGTAAAGATGGACCACCAGGTCTTCCCGGAAGACCTGGAGATAAAGGTATTTACAAATTGTATTTACAAATTTAAAAATACTTTATATATACTTAATAATAATCATGATTTATGCAAAATTAGGTCCCATTGGAAATCCTGGACCACCCGGTTCACAGGGTTCGCCAGGACTTCCCGGTCCAATAGGTCATTCTGGACCTCCTGGCCCACAGGGTGAAAAAGGCCCGGGAGGTGAATCTGGACCTCGAGGTGTTCCAGGACCGCAAGGATCAAGAGGTTTGCCAGGACCTCAAGGGAACCCAGGAATAAAGGGTGACATTGGATCTCAGGGTTTGTGTTTAATATAGTTTTAAATTATTTAGTTATTTCTATACTTATATTAATTTATTTTAGGAGAAAAAGGAGATAAAGGCCATCGAGGACTCATTGGTACCTATTATTGTTCCTCTATATATAAAAATATTTAATGAAATCAACTTATTTTCAATACTATTACTGTTTAGGATTACAGGGTTTGCCCGGACATGTGGGACCTCCTGGAGACAAAGGTCCGGTCGGGTCTATTGGACCGGCAGGCCCTCCAGGAGCACCGGGAGTAAAGGGTCCGCCCGGAAGAGATGGGCCACCCGGTCCTAATGGAACGCCCGGTCCTATGGGGCCGAGGGGTGAGAGAGGAGATGACGGGAAATCAGGTTCTGTACAATATATACAGTAAAATAACTTAAAGAATTTGAATGAAATTATTTTTCCAAAATAATAGGTACACCCGGCGAGAGAGGACTGCCCGGGCCGCCAGGTATTTGTGTATTGAATGCATTTGTGAACTAATGATAACCGAAAGTCATATCATAGGCTCTCCGGGCGAACCGTTCGCATACGACGCGGCGGCTCTCGCGGCGATCCTCAACCAATCGGGCGGTCAGACTAAGGTATACTAATTGTAACCAAATTGAAACCAGAATATAAGACCACTGTTTGTATGTCCGGCACATTAGGGTCCCGATCCTATGCTCGGAGACCAACCAAACCGACTCTTTTCAGCCGACGTCCCAATCGAAGAGAAAAAGAAAATTGTTTTTGAGTTTTACGACCAACTCGTCAAAGAATACGAGAAACTTCGGCGACCGACGGGTGAGAGGGACGCGCCCGCGAAGACTTGCAAAGACTTGTCTCAATTACATCCCACTTTGGAAAGCGGTTAGATTTGGTGACAATTATTGTGACATTAGTTGAAATTAATTGATATGAATATATGGTTTAGGAATCTATTACATCGATCCAAACGAGGGCACATCCAATGATGCCATTCAGGCTTATTTAAAGCGGTTAGATTTGGTGACAATTATTGTGACATTAGTTGAAATTAATTGATATGAATATATGGTTTAGGAATCTATTACATCGATCCAAACGAGGGCACATCCAATGATGCCATTCAGGCCTATTGTGATATGACCACTAAGTCGACGTGTGTGTTCCCGGCGCCCACCTCTGTGCCCATCAGACCCTATAATAAAGAGACAAAATATGGTCACAATTGGTTCAGCGAAATGAAGGGAGGGTTTACTGTAAGACTGTTTTTCATAATTAATATATTTGCTATAATTAGTGAAAATGACAACATATTTAACTGCAATACTGAATATTTCAGTTCACATACAAAGCCAACAATATTCAGCTAAACTTTTTGCAACTATTGAGTGAACACGCCGTTCAGAATATCACATATTTATGCAAAAATTCGGTCGCCTTTTTCGATGAGACCAAACAAACCCATAGAAAAGCAGTCAAATTAATGACTTATAATGACATCGAACTGACCGCCGATGGAAATAATATGTTTACCTATCAGTCAATTAGAGACGGCTGTCAGGTCTGTCTTTTCTCATAATTATCTTTAAATCTATTTTCATTTCATATGATTTATACTAATTAGACTCATAGCAACCAATTGGACAGTACTGTAATAGAATATAATACAGGTCAGTTTGGGATCATACAGACACTCTACTTACTATAAATAGAGTACTTTATCTATTAATTTGGAAAATTGATCATTCATTTGATATTTCAGATAAACCTCAACGACTTCCCATTCTTGACATCGCTGTCAGGGATATAGGGGGAAAGGATCAAGAGTTTGGCTTAGAGTTAGGTCCCGTTTGCTTCAATTAGACTGTTTTGCAATTATTGTTGTTTTTATTTGACACATAATTTTAGTTTACAAATTGTAATCATTTTTGTTTTGTGTTCTTATTTTTAAATATATAATATTTTAAATGTATTATTTTAGTCACAATTGTCCTCTCACAAATATATAAATTAATTAATTAAATGAACATTAGGTTAATTCATAAAATAGTACATTTATAATTTGTTGTATTATACATGTTTCACATAAATAATATAGCATACAGTATTACTACATGTATTAATAATTATTTAAAAGTAATTGAATAAAAATAATTCTATTCAAATTTTCTTATTTATTAAATGTTTAACTATTAATAGCATTTAATCCTTCGGTAAATATTTGTAATTCTATCCATAACACAAAATAAATATTGATTTTAATCATTAAAATGAATTTAATTTATTTAATATTGCTTTTGATTATGTATTTGTGGAGCATTATGCATTTTAAACATTAGGTAGGGAGATTTTTATACAGTGAATTATAAATAATGAAGATTCTATATTATTTAATAAATTTTCACATTTACGGTAAAAGTGGAATATATTAAGTAATATTTGTAATACTGTATTATATTATTATATCATTTAATA